GTATGGTCTAAAGGGGATTAAATAATGTACTACATGCGTTTAGGGTACACCCTATAATTAAAATCGTGATAATAAAAGTTAACGAATAACAAATAAATAACTCATCAGTTAATATTTATTTTTCAATATTTATCAACACTTGTAAATGGTTTAAAAAAAAAATAACAATAGCTAAAAAAATATTACAATTGCTTACATTCAAAAAAGATATTTAAAAAAAAATTATATTAATAAATGAAATATGATCAAATGATCAATGCTGTCGTATGCTGCATATATTCTGTCAGTAATCCACCATTTAACTATTAAAAATAAGAAATAAATAATGACGGTTAGCGGTAACGTAAAAATGAATATAGCAGTCTATTTTAAATCATGTGTTATAAGTTAAAACTGTTAAAAACATATGAATTCATTATTTATCAATGTAGTTCATACTAAATGTTGAATACTATGTTTTAATTTATTAATATTTATATGTTTAAAGGTATAGTAAGAACTTTGGTTAAAGCTAAAAAGGTTGTTTATATAAAAATTGGATTCTTTTCTAAATCGAATTGGCTCTCAATATTTGTTCCCAAGAATGAAGAAAAATATAAGAAAGTAACATTGGGTCCATTAGTCAATTTTATCAATTCATTTAATATAAGTGGTATTATCATTTATTTAAGATGGATTCATGTGAGTAAAATAAAAAAATAGTTTAATTAAAAAATAATTTTAAATATTTAATATTATACTAATGTATGTTTTGAAAATGTAAAAATTCTTAAAATTTAATGTAAAACATAACCACCTTAATTAATATAATTGAATTTATTGTAGTTAACTATTACTATAGGAGTGGTAAAAAAAGTTGTAAATTCCTATTATATACCTTTATAAAATTGTATTTGTAAAACAGTTCGTTATGAAAATCATATAAAAATACGCTTAAATACAAATAAAATATTTCATCAATTTTCGAAAGGTTCTTATATGAGATTATAAATTAATCAAAAAATATAATTTTTTAAGATATCTTTATCAGTATAATAAAAAAATCATTGATACATAACATGGTTTTGAATTTATAGTACTTGAGTTTACCCATTATTTTTAATTCTCTGATCACAAGTATTAAGTAATGATAGCTATGATTTATTATCTTGTGACAATTAGCCATATAGTTCTAACTCATTGCTAAAAAAATTTAATCAACACAGCATCAAGTATATTTTTATATATAAAAATGAATATATTACATCACGCTAATTTCATTTCGATTAAATTGTTTAATTTTTTTAAGGAAAACCAAAAAGTTTCTCCCAAAGACTACACTTCATTTATAAGTCGAATAAAACAACAAGTAAAACATAAAATTAAAGTTGGTTTAGTCGTAAATGGAGCGTACTATAAAGATTTTTCAAATACTTCGAGTAAGTAAATTATATTTATATCAGTACTTCTAAGGACAATAAAATATTGTTATCCTTTGAGTTATGAATATTATTTGTTAATGTTCCAATTATGTTCTTAAAGGTTTTGATTTTACAATAACAAATGAAGCGTTGGATATGTATTATATTATATTTGCAAATCTAAACTTATGTGATTCTGACACTAAGAAATATGGTTTGGTTCCAGTATCATGCCCCAATCCTAATGTAACGTCTATGGTTAGTTCCTGCTCTTAAGAATTGTAAAATATTTAAATTTAAACATACATTTATACGAAATTTTTCAGGAACAAGTGACTTCTGCTGTAACTAATTCAAAAATGGATAAGTCAAAAATTTATGCGTGGCTTCAGTGTACTATAAAAATTCCAAATAATCAACCGTTAATATTGAAAAAGGCAATTACTACGTATTCAACGGTATGATTAATATTATATTGTAGATATATTTAATAGTATATGTTAAAGAATCAACTTAACCTATAGAATTATTAAAATGTTTAACAATTATTTTATTTTTGTTCATACCAATTAAGCTGTACCAAATTGTATAAAACAGACCCACATGATAAGAACACTGGTTCTGCACCCCTAAAAGTAAAAATATGTAAAAAATATTTAATATTTTTTCATTAAAAAAATTTTATACGAAGGTAATTAAATTAGCAATGCCTTTTTAATTTTTTATCAAACTCCATTTAGCAATTTTATTAATTATTATATCTTATAAGTATATAAAACAATTTGTTAAACATCAAATGCAAATAATGTCATATTTGATGAATTTATTCAATATGCAATTTGTTTTTTAAATTTTATACTTTTTTTCTCTACAAAGAAAAATTACTATTCGTTTTTACTTCAATATTGTAGCCACAAAACTCAACAAAATTCATATTCATGATGTTTTCAGAAGTATTCCGGTAAAATTAAAATTTTTTATGTGCTTAAAACACTTATAAAATATAAAATACCAATAATTAATCTTTTTCTCATCCATAATAATATGCTACAGATAACAGTTTTTTTCTCAGTGAAACAAATTTTTGACACGGTTCAATAATGTCTTTGTCTTTAGATTTTTTACTTTTGTATTTCTACACTGTAAATAATTATTTTGTTTTTACTACAGTATTGTAGCATCAATACAACAAATTCATCACTCTGGTGTGCGAGCTCTTCTCAGCTTTCATATGATCAAGTAAATATACTTTAAAGGTTATTTAATTTCCGATTTTAGTACGGGATTAAATCATAGCATCAGACAAATCCGATACACAGATGGCAGGAGAAAACAACATGAAATGTACTGCGAAAAACTAAGTGTGATATGTAATAAAATAAACTTTAGGGAAAAAAATATATACAGCTGGAGATATTTTTAACTTAAACTTATATAACCTTACCAAACAGATCATACCTTATTATTAATACCATTTAGTATATTTATATTTCACAATAAACGATTGAATTTTGAACACAAAAAACACACCACAAAACGTACTTAATGATATAAGTTGACAGATCTTCATCATTTACAATCAATTTTCGTTTACAATGATAACACGACGTATAAAATTAATTTAATTAAAATTTAACACATCTATTACAGTGACTCACTCTTATCACTCTAATTCACAGTAAAATTGTAATCATTTCCCTATCCTATTTATTTTAGGCGACTTACTCAAAAAAAAACTATGAAGGGATATTAATAGAGATTCTTGATGGAGATGATTTCAATTCAAGTTGTGGTTGTGGACAATTTCCAGTAACAAAAGCATATATTAGTGGTTGGAAATCAACTAAGCTTACACCGTGTTCTAGATTAGATTAAACAGAAAAAACAAAATAATGACAAACAAAATTGTAACTATTACACAATGCAGTAAAAATTAATTATAAATATTTATCATGTTTAAATTATTAATAAACTTACAGTTGAATATTATATGACTTTTATAATTATATGACGATAATATGTGTCGTCATCATTTTTTGAAACAGTTAAAGGTATTAAATTTTAAAGGAAATTTACATTAATTATTGGTTTAAAATACTATGTGTACTATATTATCTAAGTTGTAAATAAACTTATAAACACTAACATATTTTTTTTATTTTTTTTTTTTTTTTTTTTTTATAATATCAGATACTACAAACTATTATAAAAATAAAGCATTTTAATGATAATTGTATTGTGCTTAGTTAATTAATTTAACAATAATTTATAGGCGATTTATCAAATACGTTTGTATTTTTATCATAACAAATATTCATAAATTTAGCTCCTGAATATTTTTTAAAATTGTTATTCACTCAAGAACGCGCTTGAAAATGGGCCTAGGGCGACTCATCACAAATAGAACCTCCTAACGAAATATAACTAACACCAAAAGTAATTAGTTGTTAATACTTAAATAATTTGAATATTAATAAACAACAATACTAAGATTATTATTAAATCAAAAATATTCGTGGGGTATATTAAAAAATATTCATTTTCTCTACGAGTTTAAAATATAAATAACATACATAGGTATTTATTTATTAATCATTGTAATTATTACTTAATTTTATAATTATAAGTAGTTTAACAATAATAAATTAGATGATATTTTTTTTCTAATATGTTAATACTACTGGATCTTCTATTTTGTCTTTGTAGCATAAGTCTGCATAATTCATGAAAGGTTTATCTAATGAACCGTAAAATTTTTTTTTTTTTTTTGAAGCAATTTTTTTTTTAGTCATTCAGGTAAAAAGTTAATAGTACAGTTTCTTATATAAAAGTAGTTATGTAGCAAATATGATGAAGTTGAATTTTGGATTTGGACCTGCAGACATTTAAACGTGAATACTACAGAGTGGTTTATTGCATACTTCGTGTCAAGCCCAACAAAACAATTCGACTAAATATTACAAACTAATAATTACATTAATAAGTCAGACCATTGTACATCAATAAATTTAATAATAAATTATTAACAGGGGATAGGCTACAATTCTGAATATTATATTAAAGATGACCCTCAACATTTTTACATCATAGGCACGAGTAGACTTTGGTCGTAGGAAATGGGGCTGATAAAATATACTCCCCAAAAATATCGATATATTTATAAGAATTAGTAAGTTGTCTTTTAAGAAAATCATGTAAAAATTAAAACTAATTACACAAGAATACTAATTATTATACATTATTATACAATTATTATTCAAATTACAACACAAAGTGTTACTAGGTGCTCATTTTTGCGAACAATTTTCGGGTATATCATACAAAATTCTTCGAACTCAAAACATTAATTTGACTGAAACATGAAAATATGTGGATGTAAGAAAATCACTTGTAGATGTAAAAATATGAAAATAAAGAAGCAGGATTAAATATTATTAAAATTATAAATTATTCTTTAATATTATAAATGTATGCCATAATAAACATTAAAAATTATTTGAGCATTTTATCAAAACATTAATTATAAAATTTATTATATTAATAAATTATAACCATAATGTTATAATTTTTAAAGTGTAAACATCTATGCTATCGGTTTGTAGTACGACCTTCTTGGAGAATAGAGTGTCAAGCGTTAGGTTAAGATGTGACTGGTGGAGTGTTGTGTGTATGAGTCTATTGCGCACGGTATTCGCGCAGGCTACTCAACATACATAATATAATAAAAAATAATAATATAATATACATAAATATTTTTAAATTTATTGAGATACGCTGGTTTCTATAGAAATTATATTATTTCTTTATCGAAGTTACGACTAATGCGTATCAATTAAAACCGGTTTCATGGAAGAAAACACACTTAAATATTATGATTATAATACCAATCGAAGCACATTTTTTTTTTCAATTGAATGACATAAAAAAATGAAATTTGAATTTTTCGGAGTTACGTCGTTTGCTAAATAGGCTATGAATATATAATACATCATAATTAATAATATATAATAAATAATTATTATAATATATATAAATTATATATAATAATAAATATATATATATATAAATAAATAAATATAAAAAAGTTAAATATACATTTTAAAGAGAAA